CAAGATCTAGCTAACCCAGGGCTGCACAGACCATTGTGAGATATTGAGGCTTCATTCTAAATAACAGGATTTTAAGCAGGTAAGAGACAGCATGTTCAGGAGTGAGCTTTATGCTATTTTAGCTCCCCTAACTCACAGGTAGGTATACCTCCATACTAAACCCTACGCTAAATTGGATTTTAGAATGTGGAGGGATGATGCCTTTGTTGATATTACACCATTGTTGTGTTAACTAAAAGTTATAGGAGGCCTTTGTTTTGGACTAAGCTCGTGCACTAGGCCCCAGTAGACCAGACTAAAAATCAAAATAGAGACATTTATACCTAAAGTTCCACCTCACCAAATCAAAACTACATTGTTATCTGACCTTCCTAGAACTCAGTAGAGAGAAATAACCAAATTTCCCACACATGCCAGTTTCAGTTGTCATGACAATGAAGTTCGCTCTGCCTTTGATGCTTACAACAAAAAGTAAGCTTATGTCAACCAGTTATTCCTGTATTTTTCTGTCCCTCTGTTCCCACTTTAGGAGGAAAGTAACTCTGAAATGACCAAGCTGCTTTTTGTTCTTTGTTTCTACTTTCTTCAGCCCTTCTCTGTCTGTAAAACCAAACTTCTCTGCTCTGCCCCTTGGGACACTTACTGTATTTTATGGAATAAAGTATTTCCCGATTCTAGAATTGTTACAGGAAAGAGGTCCCAATCCAGACCCCCAGAGAGGGTTCTTCAGTCTCGTGCAAGAAAGAATTCAGGGCGAGTCCATAAAGTGAGAGCAAGTTTACTAGGAAAGTAAAGGAATAAAAGACATAGAACAGTCCCTAGGGCTGCTGGCTGCCCATTTTTATGGTTATTTCTTGATGGTATGCTAAACAAGATGGGATTATTTGTGCCTCCTCCTTTTAGACCATATACGGTAACTTCCTGACGTTGCCATGGCGTTTGTGAACTGTCATGGCGCTAGTGGCCGTGTAGCAATGAGGACAACCAGAGGTCACCCTCGTCACCATCTTGGTTTTGGTGGGTTTTAGCTGGCTTCTTTACTGCAACCTGTTTTATCGGCAAGGTCTTTATAACCTGTATTTTGTGTCGACCTCATATCTCATCCTATGACTTAGAATGCCTTAAGCGTCTGGGAATTCAGCCCAGTATGTCTCAGCTTCTTTGTACCCGCCCTCTAGACAAGATGGAGTTGCTTTTGTTCAAACACCTCTGACAGAATCATAAATAAAGCCAATTAAGATCTTTCGCAAAATTGTTGTGATTTTGACTTTTGACAGTTGCAATGGCCAGGAATTTGAGATTTTAGCACTCATAATGGCACTTTTCTTTGACCTTTCTTTCTGCCTTTCATTTGTATCCTGTATTCCCTATCCTACCATGCCCTTTAAGATTGCCATGTAGCCTAAGGTGACAACCAAATCTAGGAATACATAATCGGCTTTTGGCAGAACCTTACTAATGTATACATAAGAATCCCAACAAGGATAGCAAAAAATTAGGATTAGCCTTCTCTTTTCTGTGCTCCCTTTAATTTATACAGATCAGTGACTTATGTAAATTATTTATCTTTCATCTTTGCAAATTTCCATCTTATTATCTTAGGTGGCAAGATTTTATTTTTATAGAAATGTTATTTTGATTGACTTACAGGATTAGTATCACTTTAACATCTCCCTTCCATAGTCACCACATTTCTATGTTTGTGATCATCTTTATGGAGTACTATACCAAAAAGATTCTACTCTTTTAAAACGAGTGACCTCCACTTTGTCAGTTTGCTGATGCCAGTGTCAAAAACAGTATCACCCATTTCAGAAATTGAAAGCTTTTGCCATGTGCTTAAAAATGAAAGTTTCTTAATACAGCTTTGTCTCAAACAGTTACAAAGACCTTTGTTGTAAGGCATGTATTTTATGTTATAAATAAGCTAATCCATTTAAAAAATTAGTAAACCAACCAACCTTTTTTTTTTTTTTTTTTTTTGAGACAGAGCCTCAAAGAGATCTGTTGCCCAGGCTGGAGTGCAGTGGCACGATCTTGGCTCACTACAACCTCTGCCTCCCAGGTTCAAGCAATTCTGCCTCAGCCTCCTGAGTAGCTGGGATTACAGGTGCGCACCACCACACCGGGCTAATTTTTTATATTTTTGGTAGAGACGGGGTATCACCGTTTTGGCGAGGCTGGCTCAAACTCTTGACCTCAGTTGATGTGCCCACCTTGGCCTCCCAAAGTACTGGGATTATAAGCGTGAGCCACCACACTGTGCCACATATCAACCTTTTAATTTTTTTTTTCTTTTTTTCTTTTTTTTTTTTTTTGAGAAAAGTCTCACTCTGTCACCCAGGCTGGAGTGCAATGCCATGAATACAGCTCACTGCAGTCTTCACCTCCTGGGCTCAAGCGATCCTCCCAGCTCAGCCTCCCAAGTAGCTGGGACCACAAGCTCATACCACCATGCCCGACTAACTTTTTTTTTGTTTTTTTGGAGAGATGAGGTCTCACCATGTTGCCCAAGCTGAGTTTTTAAAAAGAAAGTATAAAGAGAACATTGCTACAGGCATACCTTGGAGATATTGTGGGTTGGGTTTCTGACCCCTGCAATAAAGCAAATATTGCAGTAAAGTGAGTCACACAAATTTTTTGGTTTCCCAGTGCATATATTAATAAAAGTTATGTTTACACTATACTGTAGTCTAAGTATGCAATAGTGTTATGTCTAAAAAATACATATCTTAATTTAAAACACTTATTATTAAAAAATGTTAATGATCATCTGAGCCTTCAATGAGTCATAATTTTTTGTGGTGGAGGGTCTTGCCTCAGTGTTGATGGTTGCTGACTGCTTGGGGTGGTGGTTGCTGAAGGTTGGGGTTGCAGAGGCAATTTCTTAAAATAAGACAACATTGAAGTTTGCTGCATTGACTCTTCCTTTCACAAAATATTTTTCTATACCATGTAGTGCTGTTTGATAGCGTTTTACCCACAGTAGAACTTCTTTCAGAATTGGAGTCAGTCTTCTCAAACCCTGCCACTGCTTATCAACTAAGCTTATGGAATATTCTAAATCCTTTGTTGTCATTTCAACAATGTTCACAGCACCCTCACCAGGAGTAGGTTCCATATCAAGAAACTACTCTCTTGTTTATCCATAAAAAGCAACTCCTCATAAGTTCATGCCTTATCATGAGATTGCAGCAATTGAGTCACATCTTCAGGCTCCACTTTTTAATTCTAGATTTCTTGCTGTTCCGCCACATCTGCAGTCACTTCCTCCATTGAAAGCTTGAACCCCTCAGAGTCATCCATGAGGACTGGAATCAGCTTCTTCCAAACTCCAATTAGTGTTGATATTTTGACTTCCTCCCATAAATCATGAATGTTCTTATTAGCATCTAGCATAGTGAAACCTTTCCAGAAGATTTTCAACTTACTTTGCCCAGATCCATCAGAAGAAGCATTATCTATGGCAGCTATGGCCTTAGGAAATGTGTTTCTGAAATAATAAGACTTGAAAGTCAAAATGACTCCTTGATCCATGAGTAGAGAATGGATGTGTTAATAGGCATGAAAATAATATCAGTCTCCTTGTGCATCTCCATCAGAGCTCTTGGGTGACCAGGTGCATTGTCAATGAGCATTAATATTTTGAAAGAAATCTTTTTTTCTGAGCAATAGGTCTCAACAGTGGGCTTAAAATATTCAGTAAATCATGCTATAAACAGATGTGCTGTCATCCAGGCTTTATTCTTCCATTTCTAGAGCACAAGCAGAGTAGATTCAGCATAATCCTTAAGGGCTGCAGGATTTTTGGAATGGCAAATGAGCACTGGCATCAATATCAGGTCACCAGCTGCATTTGCCCCTAACAAGAGAGTTAGCCTGTTCTTTGAAGCCTTGAAGCCAGGTGCTGACTTCTCTAGCTATGGAAGTCCTAGATGTCATTTTCCTCCCATATAAGGCTGTTGTGTCTACATTTAAAATCTGTTGTTTAGTGTAGCCGCCATCATCAACTAGTTAAGATCTAGTTATCTTAGCTAGATCTTTTGGATAACTTTCTGCAGCTTCTATATCAGCGCTTGCTGCTTTACCTTGCAGCAAGTTATGTTTTATGTTTTGGAGATGGCGTCTTTTCCTAAACTTCAAGAGCCAGCCTCTGCTAGCTTCAAGCATTTTTTCCTGCAGCTTCCTCACCTCTCTCAGCCTTCATAGAATTGAAGAGCATTAGAGTATCACTCTGGATTAGGCTTTTGTTTAAGGGAAGTTGTGGCTCGTTTGATCTTCTATCCAGACCACTAAAATTTTCTCCATATCAACAAAAAGGCTGTTTTACATTCTTACTTATGTGTTCACTGGAGTAGCACTTTTAATTTCCTTCAGTAACATTTCCTTTGCATTCCCAACTTGGCTGTTTGGCACAAGAAACCTAACTTTTGGTCTATCTCGGCTATCAACATGCTTTCCTCACTAACCTTAATTTTTATTTCTGTCTTTTGTTTTAAAGTGAAAGACATGTGACTCTTCCTTTCACCTGAACACTTAGAGGTCATTGTAGGGTTAATAATTGGCCTAATTTCAATATTGTTGTATCTCAGAATAGGGAGACCCAACAAGAGGGAGAGAGATGGTGGGACAGTCGGATACACATTTATAGATTAAATTCGTCTTATACAGGTGCAGTTTGTGGTGCCCCAAAACAATTACAATAGTAGCATCAAAGATCACTGATCACAAGTCACCATCAGATGTAATAAGAATGAAAACTTTTGAAATATTGTGAGAATTACCAAAATGTGACAGGTGGAAAGTGAGCACATGCCACTGGAAAAATTGACTTGCTTGAGACAGGGTTACCATAAACCTTCAATTTGTAAAAAAAAAAAAAAAAAAAAAAAAAATGCAATATCTGTGAAGCTTAATAAAGTGAAGCATAATAAAATGAGGTATGTCTGTATTTTATTATTTTACTCCTCTGATTTTTTTGTTTGTTTATTTGGAGATAGGGTCTTGCTCTGTCACCCAGGCTGGAGTGCCATCGCATCATCATAGCTCACTATGGCCTTGATCCTCCTGCCTTAGCCTCCCAAGCAGCTGGTACTACAGGTACGTGCCACCACACTCAGCTAATTCTCTTATATTTTTTGTAGAGACAGTGTCTCCCTATGTTTCCCAGGCTGGTCTCAAACTCCTGGGCTCAAGTGATCCCCCCACCTCAATCTCCCAAAGTGCTGAGATTGCAGACATGAGCCACCACCCTTGGCCTTCCTAGTGTGTTTTATACAAGGATATTAAAACACTTTGAGCTATCGTTTGACATGTAACATTTTACTTTTTCTGTTTACAAAATCTGAAGTCTTCTTTTCAAGATGTATAAAATTAGCACACTGGAATCTAATAAAACGATATTTCAGCTAAAAAAGAACCATTTCCACCAATTTAGGTTCTTTAAAAGATTCATGTAAGTTCGTGTACAGATTGAATATACCTTATCTGAAATGTTTGGGTCCAGAAGTCTTGTGAATTTTGCATTTTTTAATATTTGCATACAATTAATGAGATACAGGAATGAGACCCAAGTCTAAACATAAAATTTGTTTATGTTTTATATACATCTTTTACACATAGCCTGAAGGTAATTTTATACAATACTTTTTTTTTTTTTTTAGATGGAGTTTTGCTCTTGTCGCACAGGCTGGAGTGCCATGATGCAATCTCGGCTCACTGCAACCTCCGCCTCCTAGATTCAAGCAATTCTCGTGCTGCAACCTCCTGAGTAGCTGGGATTACAGGCACTCACCACCATGCCCGGCTAATTTTTGTATTTTTCGTAGAGAAAACATGTTGGCCAGGCTGGTCTCGAACTCCTGACCTCTGGTGATCCACCCGCCTCGGCCTCCCAAAGTGCTGGGATTATAGGCATGAGCCACTGCACCCAGCCACAATTATTTTAATAATTTAGTGCATGAAACAAAGTTTGTGTTAAGTACTTACGTGTGAAATTTTGATTTGTGCCATCATGGTGGCACTCAAAACATTTCAGATTTTGGGTTTTGGACTTTCAGATTCAAGATGCTCAACCTGTAGTTTCCTTTGTATTGATGGCAGACACAAGTTTTGTATCTTCTTGTAAAGGTGTGAAGAAGCTAAATGACATCTTTCCTGAATTACTGGGATAGAGCATTTACTAAGAAACAGGATACAAGAATTTGCTTAAACCATACTGTTTTAAATCTGATTTTCTTCCTGTTAATATTTTAAGTAGAAAAAGAATTAATTTTCCAATACATTGACACTACCTTCACTTTGAAAGTGAAACACATGACATCTATTAGCTTTGCAATAGAGGTTGTGATTTTCCTAAGAAATGAATATGCACTGTAATGAAAGATTTGCCAGTCATCCCAATGGCTATTTTGTTTTGCAGGCCACGGTGTGAACACATGAATAGAAGAAGAAAATTTCTTCTAGCCTCAGTACTTGCTCTCCAGAACTCGAGTTTTATATATCCATCATGTCAGAAGTGCTTCTCTAGGATAATCCTGGTCTCCAAAAGGTAAAAGTAAAGTCTGTACGGGTGAGAGAGGAAATACAAGTGCACACTGTAGATTTCCTATGGCTCAAGGGCAAGGACCAGATTTACCAAACCAGGACAACTCTCAGGAGTTGGTTCTTCTGTAAATCCCAGAACAGATTTCACTGCTAATCATCTATTACTAGAGAAAAGTTTTAAGTTACTGTCAAGTCCTTTGCTAAATGCTTGCCTCATTGAAGAAAAATAACTTCTCAGTAAGTCCCAATACTGGGTACAAAACTTAACCCATTTCTGGGATATCCCTGGGAATAATACAGGAGGCTTTTGTTATTGTTTGTTTATTTTTGCATGATCCTTAGAATAGTTTTTAATGTAAATAAATAAACTCCTTGAGACCAGGGACTATGTTATAGTAATTTCTATCCTTTAGCAACTAGAAAGGTGTTTGGCATATAATTCTTTATTATGGTGCTCAGATGCAAGCCAACTATACCTGAGAGCCTAAGGTCTTCCTCTGATCTTTATAGACTAGAAATGAGAGGTTAGGTTTGAAGTTTCTCCAGAACACTGTCTCTCTGCATGGAAGAGAGGATAAGAATAACTAGTAAGTAGCTAGAACTATGTAAGAAAGAGTAGTGTGCCAGCAATATTCTTAACTAGTCTTTTTGTCTAGTTAGCATTGAATGGGGAGGCACAAAGAGAGATGGGCAGTTCTAACTCATATCTAGACTCTAAGTAATCCTTGAAGTAGTTATCACACTGTTCCTTTATTAAGCCAGTCTCTCAAGTACTCGTTTGTAAGCTCTGAGAGAAAGGCCCTGTTTGTGTTATTCATCATTAAATCCTTGGCATCCATCTTCAGGCTTAGTTCATAGAAAATGTTCAACAAGTGTTCGTTAGATGAATGAATAAGTGATAGCATGATAGTGTTTAGATTGTCTTAGGTTCACCCATTTTCAGGTTCCTGCCTGTCATTTGAAACAACTAAAACCCATGGGCTATTTGCCTTTCATCAGAATCTATACTTAGAAGCAGTGTGGTATACAGTCCTTACTTAATGTTGTCGGATTCTAAGACACTGCAACTTTAAGCAAAATGATGTATAGTGAAACAAATTTTTTTCTCATCAACATTATAATGATGTTATTTGAGAACCTGCTATAAGTAGTTTTGCTTAAAGTCACAGTATCCAAGAACCTATCACTAACGTTAAATGAGGACTTACTGTAATGGAACAATTTCAAGCTTCAGAGAACACAACAGAGTTGCATGTAGGCTCTGGCTCTCATTAACTATGTGACCTAGGGCAAGATATTTAACTTCTGTGAGTCTAATTACTCATTTGTAAGGTGGGATCATGGTACCCACAATATGGGATCATTGTAAATTAGAGATAATGCACAGAAATGTTCTAGTAGAATACATAACATATTAGAATTTCCAAAGTGGTAGCTATTATTATTATAATCTATTATAAGTATACTTTACCTTATTGCAGTATGTTATCATGATTAAAAGCATAATTCTCTGGAGCTGACTGCCTGGATTCAAATCACAACCCTGCCGTTATAGCTGTGTGGCCTTGGGCAAGTCACTGTAATTATCTGAGCCTCAAAATGGGGAAAGTGATATCTGCCTCATAAGGTTCTTGTAAGGATCAAATAGGTTAATATACATAACATGCCTAGAACATTGTCTGATACATTATCAGTAATATATAGATATAAAATATTTTTTAAACTCTTTCCAGTCATTTATTTTAAAGATAATCTGCAACAAAAATTTAGGTTGAACAACAATTCCATTGTTACCTATTTAGACTGGTAATACCAATAGATAACATTAGTGAGTGTTTACTGTACAGTAGGCACTGTGCTAGGAGCTTTGTGGGCATTATATCTTTTAATACAACAGCCCTATGAAGTGAATGCTGTTGTTAATGCCAGCCTTTAAAGGAGACAACTGAAGCTTGGAAAAGTTAAGTAACCTACCGCAAATCATCACACAGCCAGCTAGTTAGGGGCAGAAACATATTCAAGCCTACACAATCTGCATTCTGTCTACCTTCATAATCACCATATTACTTCCAAATTGGCAGCAAAATTTGTATTCAGAATGACATCTTCCTCTCTCTTTCTTAGAGCTTAAAATGCCCTGGGAAAGGACTTGTGACGGGACTCTTGGAATATAAAACCCATGGCACATAGTCCTTGCCTGTGGAAACATAGTCCATGGAAATATAACCTGTTTTCTGCATATACTACATTGACACAAAAATTTTTTTAAACTATATCCATAATTTCTGGTGCTTATCTTTTTTTCCCCATAGGTTATTGGGGTACAGGTGGTATTTGGCTACATGAGTAAGCTCTTCAGTGGTGCTTTGTGAGATTTTGGTGCACCCATCACCCGAGCAGTACACACTGCACCCTATTTGTAGTCTTTTATCCCTCACCCCCTCCCACCCTTTCCCCCAGGTCCCCAAAGTCCATTGTATCATTCTTATGCCTTTGTGTCCTCATAGCGTAGCTCCCACATATCAGTGAGAACATATGGTGTTTGGTTTTCCATTCCTGAGTTACTTCATTTAGAATAATAGTCTCTAGTCTCATCCAGGTCACTGCAAATGCCATTAATTCATTCCTTTTTATGACTAAGTAGTAGTTCATCATACACACACACACACACACACACACACACACACACCCCACAGTTTCTTTATCCACTCATTGATTGATGGACATTTGGGTTGGTTCCACGATTTTGCAATTCTGAACTGTGCTGCTATAAACATGCATGTGCAAGTATCTTCTTCACACAATGACTTATTTTCCTCTGGGTAGATACCCAGTAGTGGGATTGCTGGATCAAATGGTAGTTCTACTTTTAGTTCTTTAAGGAATCTCCACAGTGTTTTCCATAGTGGCTGTAGTAGTTTACATTTCTGCCAGCAATGTAGAAGTGTTCCCTGGTCGCTGCATCCACACCAGCATCTACTGTTTTTTGATTTTTTGATTATGGCCATTCTTGCAGGAATAGGCGGTATTGCATTGTGATTTTGATTTGCATTTCCCTGGTCATTAGTGATGTTGAGCATTTTTTCATTTGTTGGCCATTTGATAATTGTCTATTTATGTCCTTAGCCCACTGTTTGATGGGATTGTTTGTTTTTTTCTTACTGATTTGTTTGAGTTCATTGTAGATTCTGGATATTAGTCCTTTGTCAGACGTATAGATTGTGAAGATTTTCTCCCACTCTGTGGGTTGTCTGTTTACTCTGCTGACTATTCTTTGGCCATGCAAAAGCTCTTTAGTTTAATTAAACCCCAGCTATTTATCTTTGTTTTTATTGCATTTGCTTTTGGATATGCCAGTGTCTAGAAGGGTTTTTACAATGTTATCTTCTGGAATTTTTATAGTTTCAGGTCTTAGATTTAAGTCCTTAATCCATCTTGAGTTGCTTTTGTATAAGGTTCATTCTCCTACATGTGGCTAACCAATGATCCCAGCACCATTTGTTGAAAAGGGTGTTCTTTCCCCACTATTGTTTGCTTTGTCAAAGATCAGTTGGCTGTAAGTGTTTGAGTTTATTTCTGGGTTCTCTATTCTGTTCCATTGGCCTGTGTGCCTATTTTTATACCAGTACCATGGTGTTTTGGTGACTATGGCCTTATAGTATAGTTTGAAATCAGGTAATGTGATGCCTCCAGGTTTGTTCTTTTTGCTTAGTCTTTCTTTGGCTATGCCGGCTATGTCTTGGTTCCATATGCATTTTAAAATTGTTTTTTTCTAATTCTTTGAAGAATAGTGGTGGTAGGAATTGCATTGAATTTGTAGATTGCTTTTGGCAGCATGGTCATTTTCACAATATTGATTCTACCTATCCACAAGCTGGGATGTGTTTCCATTCGTTTGTGCTGTCCATGATTTCTTTCAGCAGTGTTTTGCAGTTTTTCTTGTAGAGGTCTTTTGCCTCCTTGGTTAGGTATATTCCTAAATTTGTTTATTTGTCTGGTTTTTTGTCTTTGTTTTTGTTTTTTTGCAGCTATTGTAAAAGGAGTTAAATTCTTGATTTGACTCTCTGCTTGGTCACTGTTGGTGTATAGAAGAGCTGCTGATTTGTGTACATTAATCTTGTATCCAGAAACTTTGCTGAATTCTTTTATCAGTTCTAGCAGCTTTCTGGAGGAGTCTTCAGGGTTTTCAAGGTAAACAATCATATTGTCAGCAAACAGTGACAGTTTGACTTCCTCTTTACTGATTTAGATGCCCTTTCTTTCTTTCTCTTGTCTGATTGCATTGACTAGGACTTCCAGTAGTATGTTGAAGAAGAATGGTGAGAGTGAGCATCCTTGTCTCGTTCCAGTTCTCAGAGGGAATGCTTTCCATTTTTCCCCGTTCATTGTTATGTTGGCTGTGGGTTTGTTATAGATGGCTTTTATTACATTGAGGTATGTCCCTTGTATGCCACTTTTGCTAAGAGTTTTAATCATAAAGGGATGCTGGCTTTTGTTGAATGCTTTTTCTGCATCTATTTAGATGATCATGTGATTTTCGTTTTTAAAATTCTGTTTATGTGGTATATCACATTTATTGACTTATGTATGCTAAACTGTCCCTGCATCCCTGGTATGAAACCCACTTAATCATGGTGGATTATCTTTTTGATATGTTGTTTGATTCAGTTAACTAGTATTTTGTTAAGGATTTTAGCGTCTGTGTTCATCAAGGATATCGGGCAGTAGTTTTCTTTTTTGCTTATGTCCTTTCCTGATTTGGGTATTAGGGTGATGCTGCCTTCATAGAATGAATTAGGGAGGATTCCCTCTTTATCTCGTGGAATAGCGTCAAAAGGATTGGTACCAATTATTCTTTGAATGTCTGGTGGAATTCTGCTGTGAATCCATCTGGTCCTGGACTTTTTTTGGTGGGTAATGTGTTGTGTTTTTTTTGTTTTTTTTTTTTTGAGACGGAGTCTCACTCTGTCGCCCAGGCTGGAGTGCAGTGGCACGATCTCGGCT